AATATCAAACTGCCAAATGCCAGTGAAACAATCACCCATTGCTCGGGTTGGCCAAAGCAGAAATGCATTGGAGAATTCATAAGTAAAGATTTGAATGAATGCTTTCTCTTCTCACCAAATTTGCCAGCTGATTTAATGAAGACAAAAACATAAACACCGAGACTTAAATGTCGAACACAAAAAGTTCCCAGTTGAGGTCTTCAACAACAATAAAAGAAATTGACATAACTCAAGCTGAAATATTTCCTATAAGCAGAAATTTGGATAGTCTCTTGGATGGTAATCCGGAAAACATTTCCCAGTGTAAAAAGGATTCTACGTAATAAAAAGAATTACTTTCAATGCAATAGTAAAGGTGTTGAAGGATTCTAAAACTTAATTATAAATTAACATCACAATTGTAAATTTTATAACATGAATTAACCTAACTTTATTTTTACCTCTATCATGGGGTAAAAGCGTGACAACTGCCACGTTTCTTCTTCACCAGTTCGATCTTTCCTCACTGCCCGCTTCTTCTGGAATCAAATGGTGGATGGGAAAATGAAAAAACTAAAAGTGCATATTGACAATTTGTAGGAATATGTTGCTACAATCAGGTGCAGGTGTTCCACCAAACAGTGACATACCTTATGAATGTCAAATTTAAGAGTGAATGCTCCACTGGAACCTTTTTTAGCATCTGCTGGTGGTGCTATCAATCTCATATTATTTACGGCATTCATATCATCAGGTGGTAATTTCGCTAACTGAAGGGATTTCAAGCATCAAGTTGGAATAACCATCATTAAAAGAGCAACTATTGATTCAAAGAGGCAGAAAGAAATTTTTGAATCAATAAAGAAATTAAGAATAGAAAAAGTAAAACAACCTTCATCAAGTTTTGGCCCTTTTCACCATCAAACTTCTCAGGATAAATTGCTGCAAGAACCATCAACAAGCGTAGCTTATTTTCACGAGTTGCATCCTGCATAGGAAACTTCCACTATTTCAAAACATTTTTCCAACCAAAAAGAAAGGTAAGAAGATCAACGATCAATTATCAGAAGTTACCTCTTTTGAACTCAAATATTTAATTACGTCCTTCATTCCTACATCACCAAAAACAAGGCCCTGCTCTAGCTGCCCAAGTTCTCGAAGCCCCTGCTCCCTAATAATTCTGTTGATTTTTCCCGCAATCTACACTAATAAAACCTCATACAAGTTAAGCGACAACTTGGATAAAAGAAACTGAATCCGCACAAACCTCTTGCATGGAACAACACCACGAAAACATAATTCAAACCGTCTTCTTTTTATTTCCTTTCTTTTTCTTTTGGGAAAGGGAGGAAAAGGGAGCGCAGTTATATGGGTCAAAGCATCCCCTTCAAGAAAGGATATTATTCACTAATAGAGATACAAAACTTACCTCGACATGGAGGGACAGCTTGTCAATTTGCTCGCTATATTGAGGCAATGCTTGAACCATCTTTTGCAAGTCCCTCGTAGAAAGTTCACCACCATCTCTACATAAAGGAAAGTGGTGAAAAAACGTCCCTTAATAGAAGTAAGATTCCAAGTGCTCTTGAAGCCCAGCAATCAAGATAAAGACATAAAAGAACTCTTTAAGCAGATATCTTAGATAACGTGATGTCTTGTTCGGTTCAATTTAATTCCCATTCCTTTGACATTCAATATCTACGACATACATTAACTTACATTTGCTTCGAGTAATTGAATGGTAAAACAATAGGAACTAAATTGAATCAAATCTAAAAGTATTTTAACAGTCACAAACACCCCTTCACAGCTCATGGGTTAATTGTATGGATAATTGAGGAGCTCCAGAATAAGAAAATTTTAACATTCTCTATTCCATTGAAGGGGCAAAAAACTGAAAAAATGCTTGATTCAACATTTTATACATTCAACATCTTTGGTTGCCGAAGTTTGTGCAGGGAAAGGAACTTGAGAACCTATGGAGGGATGAAACAACCCATTCATAGGTGCAGAAATGGTTGTACATTCTTAATGTTTGGCTTGCAAGTGACACTCAGTCTGGATAGTCCTTATATATATTTTTGCATCTTCGCAAGTTTTCTATAAGCTTGTTCATGGTTAGCAACCCCATTGGTTCTGTGTGCATAGTAAAGTTTTCTTTCCTATTACAGAGAAGAAAAAAATTGGTTGCTGAAATGATTTCTCAAATTTTTTTAACCATGTTACAGTGAAATTTGGCTTAGTTTTATGCTATAAAATCAGCAAGTAATGTGTGACCATTTACTTGATATACTATGTTCCATTATTGTCAAAGTTTGGCTCCCACTTCCATGATTATTAAGACATTATCACAATTGGAAAATGCAAGGCATTGCAGTATTAGTACATGAATTTTTAAAGGATTAAATTTGTATAGGACTATTATTTTCCTGTTCAGTTGCGTTTGCTACTTGGTTGGTGTCTATTTTTTCGTACAATAACCGGTCATAATAGTGTATCTAGACACCTATAAATAAATGGATAATACTCAATTGTTATTTAGATTGCAATAAAACTAGACTTCTTTTTTTCATGTGTCGTCTTTTCTCCTATTTTTCTGTTCCATCTTGCAACAATGATTCCCTTTATCAGCCCAAATTAAACTCTTCACCTACCTTAACCCTTCAGATACCTGAATCAAATCGCTCTTCTGTACGGACAAGTCCTCAAGCTATTTTCTTGCATAAAAGTTCAACCATTTGGGTAACCATTTTGCTTCCATTCTTACTAATGAAATTCACTTCTCACTCTCTCTAAAGATCCATACTTGAGAGCAACAGATAAAAAGGAAAACTTATGGTATTCTTGGGAAATGTAATGCTCAACAGTAGCAGCATGCCAAAAGGGATTCAGAGAAAGGATGCTGCCATATCATTATGCAAACCCCAAAGGGTTGGAGTAACCAATACAAAACAATATGGGAAAAGGCAGCCAAAAGAAGATAATACTGAGTGTAGTCTAAAATATTCCATCATTTGTGTTGACAAACATTTGCTTTTTAACATCTTGGAATCTCACCGAACAATATTATCTTCACATAACTAAAAAATGGGTTTGTTATCAGAATTTGAAATAATTAGAGAGGTATGCATTTAAAAATAAATAATCACAGTATTTTTAACCCTTTGGAACTATCAGAAGGACACCAGGATTTTCAGAGATCATGTATCTCATTTTTCCCTTCTTTTTCTATGTCTCTTTGGGTCAAGGCACATGTTCTTTTTAAATATTATTCTTTATCTTTTTTATATAAAGATTGGCCGGCCATCATTTACTATGTTTTGCCAGTTTTTCTCTGTTTCTGTTCTCTATATTTTCCTTATTTTTGGAGTCCTTTGTGAATGTATTTCTCTTTCTTTCTCGAATAATTTTTATTTTTCTACTAAAAAGCATTACCAGTAAAGTAAAAAAGTAAATATAAAAAAAAAAGAATCCACCAACCTCGAACCATGTTGAATTTGTGCAGCTTTATTCTTAGATACAAAGTTGGTCATCTTCTCATGCAATCTTTCACTAGCCTGACAAGAAAGCCAATAGTCAAAAACCATTCATGTCGTCCATATATTGAATAAAAGTTTTAAGAACCGAAAGATACATCTGCTATATGTGCATGGCGAAGCTCTAACCAAATATGATCATGTTCCTCCAAGAGAACTTCTTTCTTCTCCGGTTGCCCACCTGCTTTGCCTGGAACCTAAAAAGCAGGAGACCTGCCATGAAGCATCCAGGGAAAATCTGCGAGCCAGTTCAAGAGCTCATACAGAACATGAGAGAGTAGAGTTTACCTCATGCACATATTTATTCCCTTCCATATTTAGTAAATCACGGCACATGGCATCATATGTCCACTCATGTATGATGGGAGCAATCTTAAATCACAAAAAAAAAAATCATAATAAATATAAGACAAGACACATTAGCAAGCAGACCATCGGTTTTGTGAACAATGTATCCATCTACCAACCTGGTCCACAGATCTGTCAAGGATGATTAACTCGCAAGTTTCAGTCTGTGGAAAGTGTTCAATTGTTTGCTTATATTTCATTAAACAATTCCATACTCCAGCAGCAAGTTTTGTAGGAATTAAATCACGAAAGGTTGTCATTGTCATTGCATCAAGAGACTTGGCAGCACGGTAACGCACGAAAGGAAATTCCTAAAAAAGAAAAATCATCATCATTGTGCCTCAAAAGAATACATGGAAATCTACTTCAGAAAACCACAGATTATACCCTTAAAGAAGCAAAGACTGTAGCAATGCGGGTAGCCATTACATCCAAGCATGCACCGCCATTATGACAATTTTCCTCATCCCCAAAAAGTTCCTCCAGAGCCCTCTCGTTATCAGTAACAAAACCCTGCTTAGATATCAAAATTGACGAAAATGATGATGACAATAACACATTCACATCATACAGTGAAACAACCAATCAGTTAGTGATACCAAAGGAGAAAACATAACACATCAGGAGATACTAAAAACCAAGGATAAGGAGCAAAATCTAACTCTAATTATCAAAAGGTCATCATTCTCAGAATTTCTAGGATGAAGTTTCATGAAAAGTTCTAACCAGCATTATTGTTTTGGAGGGAAGGAAATCTTAAAGCAGTTGCGGAAATGGATGATTACCAGGACTATTTGGGTACTCTTCCCCCAATAGATACTTTAATCTTCAACAACCAAAAGATGTGGTGAGCTATTAGGCTTCGTATATATGATTCATGTATTACTTGAAATTTTTGCATAAGTTCTTAAACCCATGAAAAGGCCATTTCCTAAGCAATGGCATTTGACGTGCAATAAGGAACATCTCTGAAGTTCATGAATATAAGCTTGGAACATATCCTTGCACTAGCATAAAAGATTTTCTTGTGATTTTTTTTTTGATGAGACATGAAAATTATTTAAGAGTTGTTATCCAACCCAAGGATAAAACCTAATGTAGTGCCTCAGTTGCATAAACTAGAAAATTCACCAATAGACTATATCAGATAATTTAATTGAATTCTTGAAATGGTAAGTGTGAAATATATTATTTTTCTAAGAAAATATTTGAGGCATATCAGAAAAGAGTTGATTCTCCTGGTAATCTAATTGAAGTATCTAACCAAGCAATTGAAGTAGCACCATACCTGGCTGTCTATTGCAAAGTATTCCAAATTCATCTGCATGTTATCAACCAAACAATTACCCAAAAAAAAATCACCATTTAATGACAATGTTTGAACCATGGAACAATAAAAGAAAGTAAAATGTGTCAGAATATCAAAGCAAGGAAATGACCTCTCTCAGTGCACTAATGCGAGGCAACACAGTTGTATCCCTCTTGATATGCATAACCAGCTCTTTTGAAATGGGTGAACTGAAGAAAACGAAAGCCCTTTCCACATGCAGTAAAAAGGAACCACAAGAAAACTTCAGACTTTCTAAATATGTAATAACATAATTAGAAAAAGGATAAAGAGAGGACATTTTGCATACTTCTTATATAAAGGCGATCTTCCAGACATGTCTGACAAAAACATGACAATACTGCCAAAATATAAAGCAAGAAGATAAAATATACAGAGAACAACTCTTGTTAAGTAACACTGCTTAAATGAGAATATATCTATAACTAGCAAGTAAATACAAGGAAGACAGATTACTTCTCTTTGGTTGGTTGGATGAAGTATATTGCATCCATGGAAGGCAATGGCTGCCTACGTCTAAATATGTCTTCTACCACTGCAAGAGAAAATGAAAATTAGATTCTCTAAACAAAACCAAATTCACAATATAACAACCAAATTGCTGAGTAGCAAACCAATTACAATTGATTTGTAACCCAATAAACCCACAAAATAAAAGAAAAAAACTTCCATCTGAAAGAGTAACAAAATCTCCTGATGTGCATAGGAAAATGCAGAAGAGGACACATACAACAGGGAAAGGAATCTACTTTAGACTATTAGCTGTGGTAAAATATATCTTTTATTGCCTTGAAATAAGGGGTCATAATTCTCCAGATCAAATCCAGATTTAATGAGGCCATAGAAGGCCTTCTGCCAATAGAGCTACAAGCTCTTGGCAGCAGGAAAATATAAATAAACCTCTTGTTGGACAATTTTCATTAAACTATAATTTCAAAATGGCATAAGAGTAATGTTAAGACTATTATTGAAGTAATAAAGAATTCGCATCCAATTTTGTTGAACAAATTGAATCACTTTATAGGAATTTGAAAATTTTTCTCTTTTGTTTTTTAAACGAAGAACTTTAGAACACTTTTAATACCTTGTGAATGTTTCAAGAGTTCATCTAAACTAGCTAGTCACAATACAAATACATAGCCCCCAGAAACAGAAAACATATCCAAACTTTATTCAGTGTTCAAGAATCCAGTTCATTAGTTGATTTGTATAAATAAAATGGCAGCTCATTCCATTAACAAACTCACACGTCCCCACAGACGAGCGGTATGAAGATATATTAAAATTAGGATGTAAAATTCCATCCTGCAGCTAATAGCATGGCATGTGGTATGAAGATATATTAAAATTAGGATGTAAAATTCCATCCTGCAGCTAATAGCATGGCATTGATCTTGACGAAAACTGCAGAAACACCTATAGCTGGAAAATTAAAAATAAAGGACCAGCATGCGACATCTTTTACAAAGAGTTTATTTTCTTTCCAGAAGAGGAAATGATTAGAGACGACCAGAATAATGTTCCTAAAATTTTTTCAGTCATGCAAGACCAGGAAATACACTTCCTAAAAATGTTTTCCATCAACAAAAATAATTGCTGCTTGTGTAAAGGAACATGTTTTCAGGAAAAAAGTTTCTCACAGCTCTAAAGTTTGGATAATGTACTTTTGATTCTTACATGAAACTCCCTCCTGTGTGATATCAGCCATTTTGCAGGCATAAGACATTATTTTTACAGTAAGTTTGTCCATGATGAGTACCTACAGATAATAAATCAACAATACAACAAAACTTATCACAAGTTAATGAAAAAAATGTATCAGAATACTAGATACCAAAAGGTACAGTGGAAAAGATGATAAAGTTCATTGATTATACCTTCCAAGTTGATTTCGAGTTTCCAGTCCTGGCAAACCGAAGCATCTCTTGCAGCAATCCTGTACAGAAGAGTTATTTTCTTTTATACGAGATTAAATTTGGACCAAAAATAAGTGAATCTACCAACTCAATAAGCAATATAGGCTTGCCTATACTAAGATAAAAGTAATCAGCAAAATTAACAGGTGATATCAAACTGAATCATGGATCACAGATTGACATTCACTCATGATCTCACTGTTTCCTAGGAGTTTGAAAATTCCAAACACCTAGATACAGATAATAAGGGTAAGGCATAGACTATACATTTCCAGCTTTGCACTGAAAAACCACTGCTACCATAAGCTTGCCTAAAAGGTGATTGTTAGAGAAGGATAGAAAGCAATAATTTAATTTGTAGGGCTGTCGGATCTTATCATCTATTGTATATACTGAGGGAGCATACCCCCTTATGCTCCCTTTTAGTATGCACACAAGCAGTATAATCAAGCCTCTAGAATAATTCAGAGGTCAACTTGCTCACCATGAACCTTTCTTTTTTAATCTTTTCAAAAAATCTTAAAATAGTTCCAAATGCTATATCCAAGCACATCAAGTAAAGGCATAGCTTCCAGAAAATATAAAGTGGTAATCAAGACAATTTTTTTTTAAAAAAAATAGAACACTTTTTAAAAACTTGATAAATAAATCGTCCAACATGCCGTGTTTCTTGAAAACAAACCTTTACTAAGTATGTTTACTATAGCCTCATCAGTTAATTCAAGCAATTTTCGTGAGAGCTTAACAAAGGCTTACCAGAACCTTTTTGCACCCAGAGAGTAGAGATGTAATAAAGGAATGCACAATGAATATGGAACTTTTTATGGAAAACATTTTAGTATATATTCCACCCCAACAGCTAACAGCAGTCATTAACTGCTGCCTGATGCCTTAGTGCATGTGATAGTACACCAGCACAGCTTCAAGGTCATTCAACTCATCTAACAACTTGTTGCTGAAGCAGTGTGTAAATGCAGTGTCAAACAATTAAATTCCCCCTACTTCCATAATTCCCTCAAGCCAAACTCAACTAGGAAATTAGTTGACTTCTTCATCTATTTGTAGCTAATGCCTGATAGCCAGAAGTTGGCAAAAAGTCCTCATCTTCTGGAAGCAAGAAAATGTGCAAGAGGAAATGTTAAATTGAGAGCTATTTTCCTAGGGACAATTATGTCATGGTGGATAAAAAGCAATTGAAAGTTCTTTTTCTGCCCTCCTTTGTTTTTCTTTTTATTGTCTTAACTCTTATAGTTTATTTTTATCTTCTTAGTTGATCACTGGGTAAGCTATTGAACATTCTAGTAAGGTTAAATTTTTTACAGTCTCAATAGAAGAAGGAGGTAGTCTATTAAATTAAGCATCTGTACATTCTCTACAAAAGAGATTCAGGATCTGCTTGGGAAGAGGAGGAGTGCAATGACTATTTAATAATATCTGTAACCTGGGTGATCATATTGGGAAAGTCCTCCATCAACTTTCAGGGAACTGAACAAATACTACTTTGCTGAGGTCAATCAAAATGTGCAAGGTCATCCAAATACTTTGTGGAAGGCATGAGATCTGCATTACCACCTCAGTGGTTGAGGGCGGAGCAAGATGGAGGAGTTCGGAAGAAGCAATTGAGAGGCTGTCAATATCAGGTGGTGAATCAATACACACCAAAATTCTGTCCATTGGAAAAGCTGAATCCAATAAGACTTCAGGTATGGAAAGTCCAACAACTACAGAGGTGGTGCATGGTGGAAAAGGGTCTTGCAACAATGGTGCCTGGGGAAAAAGAAAGTGCTGCTGCGTCATTCAGGTCAGAATGCAAAATAAACAGTTTTAGAAGGTCTGAATCTGTTTCGTGAAAAGCGGGCAGCAAGGCAAATAACTACGTTAGTAACGAGAAGATTTTGCTTGTTAAGGCAGTTATGGAAGATTTGAATATGCTGGAGAATAAACCCTTACTTTTACAGTCGACCACAGTGGGCATGGAGAATTTTTTGATGGAAAAATCCAAAAAATCAGAAAAGGCTTTTAAGTACAAATTGATGGTGTAAATGGGTTGCAACCCCTTGGTGCCTATAATTATATATCTTAATACTTTTTATTTCAAAAAAAAAAAAAAGTACAAATTGCTTGGGACTTCTGTGTTTGACAGACTTGGGACTTTGGACCCCTTGTTCAACTACCAAAAAGGAATGTTTTTCTCAAGGATAGAGCCTGGTGCAAGTGGTAAGGGTTTTTCCTCCAGGTCCTTGCTGTTTTGGTGGATGGCAAATTGAGATCTTGATTTCTATGGCAGGGAAGTCTGAGATAGGAGAATCGTCTCTCCCCTTTCGTCTGCACAGTCTTGGTGGATGTTCTATGAAATATGTAATCCTGTGGCAGGGAAAGATATGATTGAGGGCCTTCGTGTGGAGTGACATAGGGTGGTTGTTTCCCATATCCAGCTTGCTGATAATAAGATCTTTTCCTTTCCCATGATCATGTAAAGTTGTAGAATGCTCTTACAATGATGCAGATGTTTGAGAGCATATCAGGTCTATATATCAATCGCAAGAAGACAGACTAGTTGGTATCAAAGTGAAACATCAGTTGGTTAGAGGATTGGCAGAGTCAGCGAGCTATGATGTTTTAAAGTGCACTATCACTTAGGTCTCACTTAAGGGATTAATCCTTGAATTGCTTCTCTCTGCAACCCGTGATGTGTGGGACATCTAAGTGTCTACAGTGTTGGAAATGACACCTTTTGTCCCTTTAGTGGTAGGGCCACTCTTATTCAAGCATAGAGTTCTAGTTTTTTTTTTTTGGAAATAAAAAGTATAAATTATATTAACAAACAACAAGAGGACGCTGACCCGTATACTTATTTACATATATATCAAGATATCAACAAGGTTCCCCAAATCCTTTATTTCAAGAAAAAAAGGTCCCCAAATTCTCAATAGAATAAAAATGATGACCCAGAATAAAAACGCCAAGGGTTTTTTTCTTTTTTGTTGAAATAGAAAAAACATAAAAACACCAAGGGTTTGGAACCATCTATTCCTAATCCTATCGAAATCCCACATTATGAATCAAAAGCTCTTATATTCCTCTCATTCCATATTACCCAAAAAATGGTGAGTGGAATAAGGTCCACAAATTTCCTCCACCAACCAATACCTAATAAACCATAAATCATCTACCATAGTTTATACGCTAACGGACATCATAAAAGAACATGACTAAAGGTCTTCGCAGCACCTTTACACAAGTAACAAGTGTTCACCATAGTCATTCCTCTTCTCATCAATTTGTCAATGGTCAAAATGCAACTGCTTTTGGTCTCCCATGCAAAGAAAGCAATTACTCTCCTCTACTATTTCTCTTCGTTTAGGGCTCTTAGTTTTATATTGGAAAGTATTGAGAGGGTGATGATGAATTTCCGTTAGTCTCTTCAAGTGAGTCTGTGAGGGACCATTTAGTCAGATGAGAGGTTGTTGTTTGTCTAATAATAATAGTGGCCTTGGCATTGGAAAACCTTTTTTTTTGGGACAAACTTGTCTTAATTGGCTAAATAGTTCAGGTAATTTTCTTTTGAACCTAGCTGTTTGTGGCAAAGGGTGGTCAAGAGCAAGTCCGGCCAACATCGAAATAGTTGGTGACAAATATTAATTCTTCTCCTACTTCCAGAAGTCCCTAGAAAGCTATTTCGAGTCTTTATGCTTCTTTTCTTCCCTTGCTAAGTTTGAGGGTGGGTGATGGTTCACACTTTCTTTCTAGGAAGATCCCTAGTTTGACATTATTCTTCTGGTCATTCATTTTCTGCATATGTCCCAGAGTCATAGAAATACACATAATCTTTTTATTACTCTACGGGCCACATGGCCATGTGTTCTTTTAAAAAAATCTTAAACAATCATGAAACTGATTATATAATTTCTTTTATTTAACTTCTCAATTGTTTTTCTAGACTCTGATAGTAGAATTTGGTATTTATACTCTTGATATTTTTAGATGCAAGTCCTTTGTCTTCTTACCATAATCGTTCTATCCATAATGATGCTTTTACTATGTGTTTTGGTTCTATCTTAATAAGTACGTATTTCATTTGTATTTCAGTTTTGAATAGGTTACATACTAAGATTTTCTCCAAATCCGCAGGACAAATCGCGCTTTGTCCCCTATTGTGTGTGTGTATATGAAGCGTTTCAAAGTTACTAAATCTCATAGTCACCTTTATCTGGATTGTGAGATAGCTTGGAGACTTTGGACCTGCTTATTGATACTTTTGATGTTATTAGGTTTCTCCTATCTTATAGGGATCCTTTATTCTGCTGTCGATGGCTTTGGTAGGAGGATGAAGGATAAGTATTTTTGGTGTGGGCCATTTTGTTGTTGTGGTGATTTGGCTGGAGACAAACGCCAGAATTTTCATATATCTTGCCTCTCATTTTCTCTCTTTGGCATATGTTATTTTTTCCACGTCTTTTTAGGTTAAGAGGCATGGGATTTTAAAGAATTTCTTTATTTATTTGCATAGAGCTCGGCGGCCATCATATATTGAATCTCAGCTTTTCTCCTTTTCTTCTATTTCTATTTTCATTCTTTTGGGAGGATAACTAGTCCTCCACAGTTGTACTTTTCATTCTCTCGCTAATGGTATTTCTGTTTCTATTAAAACAACAAAATGTGCAATAGCTGCATTCCTCTCTAGTGAGAACTCGTGATTTCTCATGATCAATAAGTTAACTGCAGGAAAATATTAGTGAATATAGCAGTGCGATGAGCATTTCTTACACTCCCCATTGTAATTAGAATCATCTATGTTAATTAATTACATTTCTCTGCCAGGTAAGAGGGAAAATTTAAGAAATAACAAAAAGTCACTGAACATGGAGACTGCTATTGATGCAAATCAGTTTCATGCGTTCTAAAAAACTGACATTTTAAATTACAGTTTGAACACATTTCCTTCCTGGTGCATTTTATGTAACTTGGTAGAAACCAAGTCACTATTACTTGTACTCTTTTATTGTTAGATTTAGTGAAAACACAGCTATTAAGCTCTGTATCCAATAAATCTAAATAATTCATCGTAACAAATCATTTTAAATTAAACACGGCTATCAAGCTCTGTGTCTGATAAATCTAAATAAGTCATCATACCAAGTCACCTTAGATTACTGGCATACATTCAATATTAACACAGAATCTTACTTGATCAGTTGCTTTTCTTAAAAGTAAATCACCAGAAATTGCCGCAAAAACCTCAAGCGTCAAAAGTAAAGTTGCAAATCACTAGAATTAACGAGAAAAGAAAGAGGGAAAACCGCAATTAAATAGCGACTACTAGGTATTTAAACAACAAAAAGAAATCGGTTGAATCAACAACAATCAGATTAGGTGCTTGTAGTTTTAGTTAATTAGAATTCAAAAAGGGAAAGTGAACATAAGAAGGAACATCGAGGGAGGGAAGCGAGGGACTCACGTTCACGAGTGATTTGTCTGAAATTCTTGTACTCGCCACCAGAAGACGACGAGTCAGAATCCGAGTAGGACATGTTTCAAGCTTCCTCTCTTTCCTCGTCTGCGTCGACCAACGGATTCAAAAGGCCAAGATGAGCGAAGTGGCAAGGGATCGTGCAGTGATCGATGCAGAGAGGAACGGGAGGAAAGAGAGAGAAAAGAGAGGGGAAAGAAAATGCTGTGTAATTCAAAGCTGCAATTGTTAAATGGTGGGGGGGCTTTTGTTCGTGGGTTTCACGTGTTGACTAACCCCAACATCGAAACGGCAATTCGCGTTTCGTATCGAGCTCGGGCAATGAAATTGAACCAGTCATTTGGTCGATGGTTAATTTTCGTGTAACTGAAATGACTTCTTTACCCTCAATTCCATTCATAGTGGTCCCAAAGTAATAAGGGTACATTCGTCTTTTCAGTCGGAAGCTATAATTGTATAAAGTCCTTGAGGAGTTTCTTCTAAGCTTCCTGTATTAGAATTTGTCTTAAGCTGAGAACAAGTCATTTCTTTTATTTTTCTTTTTTTTGAAGTGTTCCCTTAATCTGAAAACAAACTACTGCATTTAAACGATAAGGGAAAAATAATTATTTTCTTTTTTTTGAAGTGTTCCCTTAATCTGAAAACAAACTACTGCATTTAAACGATAAGGGAAAAATAATTATTTATAATTCAATTCAAATATTAAAATTGAATTATCAGCCTTACGTAAATAAATATAACTATTATCCTGTAAAAGAAAATAAAATAAATTAAGATCTAGAACTTGGGTCACACATCTTTCTAATCTACACTAATAATTAAATTATCTACCTAATATGTATCCATATTCAGAAAAATAATAATAATAATAATTAAGTTATGGTTGGAAGAAATAAATTTTGTGTTTCTGTTTTTAATGAATTTTTATTTCATTCACATGTTTAAATTTACTTAATGTAATGATGTGCATGTAATAATAATATCCTTTTACTTACATCGTAAGATAGCATTGTGTTAATGCATAGTTTGATATATAATTCGGCGTCAGGTTGGATTATACATTGGCATTTTCTAGAAAATATGACTGTGTAAATTTTTATGATATCGACATATTTTTCTCCATTCAAAAACATTAAAAAAAATAACATTGTATTTTTCAATAAGTTCAACCTTTTTCTTCAAAAAAAGTTATTTCATTATATCTTCTCCTCTAACCTCTATTAAAATAAAATACATCTTTACAAAATAAATTAGAAAATTCTAATTAATATCTCTTAATGCATACTTAAGCTTCTTATGGTTGTGGAACAACAGTCCAAAGAGAGAGAAATAGAGAAGGAGATATGAAAAAGAAATATATTGTGTTCATATAGTTTACAAGAAGATTGCAAAGGCTCTTATGTATACGCAAGCTTCCATGTGTTCAACTCACATGAGCAATATAAAATTAAGTATAACTTCAACACTTCTTCTCAAGATTGGTTGTAAGTATTAATGACAAATATTTTGGACATCAAGTAAAAAAATTGTATAATTGGCAAAGTTTTAATAAACAAATCTAACAAGCTAATGCTAAAGTCCAACTAGTAGAAGTTTGATCCTTCCTACGTATAGATTACCATAAATGAAATGATAATATATTTCTATGTACTTTGTGCGTTAATGGAAATGATAGGATTTGATGCAATGTGTTTTATAACTTGATTATCACAAATAATATGGGCAAGATTTGATAGGTAGTTTGAAACCAAACTCATAAAGTAATAATGGAATATAAATAATTTTATTAGTTGTTGAAGCTAGTTTTCTATATTTTACCTTAACTAAAGATCTCGAGATAATTGTTTATTTCTGTTACTTTTCATAAAGTATTCAAAGTTACTAGACTTAATTCTTGGCAACAAAAAAATTATTTAATATAAATGATTATTCATATAGGAGACCATGCATGATCAATAAGGAAGATTCCTCATTTTAATTTTTTTTAAATAAACGTATTTCATTAATGTAATCAAAGTAATATCTCATAGGTAAAGGACCAGAACTTTAAAGAAAATAAAGTTATAATTTAAATGCAAAAACGAATAATAGAATTAGGGTTTACATTCCTTACACAATAATTTAGAATGTCCAACAGGGCTATAGGAATGTCCATTCTAAAAGTCAAATGATAATTAAAAAAAATAAATAAATAAGTATTATAAGACAATCTTTACTAGAACTTGAAGAGAGTCTGGGTGGTGAGTTACACTACTTCAGTATAATCACATATACGAGAAACTGAAGATTAGTAAAAATTAAAAAAAATAACTAATGGAACTCTTACTTTAATTAAATACATTTAACATAAAGATGTTTGTTTCTTACATACCGATATGAATTTTTTAAAAATAACTTATGAAAACTTATATTCATACCACTTTTTATTTTCGCACATAAGAGAACAAGTGACGACAATTTTCTTTTCTTAATTGCTTACTAGTACCCCTGGGGGTCCATAGGGATGCCTCCCTACTCTTGAATCAAATATCATATTTTAACAATTAACCAGTCATACCCATACATCATCAGGTAATGGCCACCAAATATTCTATCGCCTCGATACCCAGTTTAGTATGAGGGTGAATAACATCTCTCAAACCTTTTTTGGTATGAGACTTTCCAGTCCCATCCAACTGAGGTAACGTTTAGGTAGGGTTTCCTATATATTGGGCTCGTCCACCCTTTTTCTGAGTACCCAGTAAGTCTTTCACATAAAGATTTTCATCAAACAAAACAACCAATAAACGCATACCAATATCTCATATTATATTTACGGATCAATTATACGACATTTATACCGACGATATAGCTTATCATAACAAAGGATTAAGTAATCAGATAACTGAATAAACCAGATAAATCAATAAGACAATTAAAATTATAAATTAAGAACATGCACAATACGATAACAAGCAAGTAGGACAGTACAGAAAAATAAACAAAAAATCAGGATAATTGTGAACTAACCAGTTCCGACTCCACTAGTGACCTGTAATTATTTTTAAGATTTTTTAAATTTTTATAAAAATATAAAATTATACATTGTTAAGCCTAAATTTACTATAACGGAAAATAGGGTGAAGGATCATTACTCCGAGCAGTGTTTCGAGACGTCGTGCTGTCTACCACGCCTCCTAATGAGTACCAGGTTTCCTGAATTTTTCTTACAAAATCTAAAATATTTATCATGTACCTAAAAATACTCCAAAAATTTAAAATCGATGTCCAAAACACTTTTCAGCTAATTTTGGGGTTCCAGCACGGCGGCGCCGCCATGCTCCAGCGTCAGATTCGCTTCCCACGGTGGCAGTTCGCCTCAGTCTAGCCAGTTTTTGCTGATTTTGGCCGATTTTGGCTAGTTTTATATGTATCTCTGCAGAAAAATACGTTAGGAGCATTGGTTGGCCAAAAACTTACAAAAAAGTCGAACATACCGGTGGGGGGTGTCCGGGTGTGGTGGCTCCGCTGGTCTTCCTCTGCGGCTGAGGTTCCTTCTTCAGCTAACCTGCACAAAAAAAGACAGTGAACACAATGATTAGAAAATTGCGTAAAACAAGAAGCGGGAAGAGGCTCATCATATGGATTTTTAGATTTTGGCATTGGCCGCTTAGCCACGATTTGCTAGCGATTTTTGGCTCACCCGTTGTCCCTCTTGCTTTGATTTGGCCACATGGATGCTCGGAATCAAATTTTGAGTGGGTATGGAGAAATTTTACATTTTCTGGCAGTCGGCGGTGGCTCCGGTGCGACGGCGGTCGACGGTCGGCCTCCTTCTTCGGTGCCTGAATCTTCTTCTCCAGCTGGGGCTCACGGCTGGAGTTTGGCTTCCCCTGTGACGCAAGGTATTTATACTCATTCTGCGTCGATCTGGGCCATTCATCGCGATTGATCTTGTCCGTCTAATCGCGCATAAGTAAGAAACGAATGTAGACCGTTTATCGTGATTGATATTGTCCATCTGATTGCGCATAAGAAAGGAACGAAAATGAGTTGTTCACGTGCGTAGGATTGAACCTGGACCGTCGGATCGTGGGGCACACGAATCACCCATGTGGCCTCCTACATGGTGCCGACGTTAGTGTGTTTTGACACATAGTATGCTTCGGTTCATCGGGACTACTAACTGGGCCATCCCACGTGGCCAAATTTTTTATTTTTGCACTTTGAACCTCTGTTTCTAATTTTTCTTTTAAAAACACCGTTCGAACTTAATTTTTCACCCTTTTTTTCAAAATTATTTTTAATCTCGTCCTTAATTCATTTTTTCTCAAAATCTCAATTAAAAAAATAAAATAAAATAAATAATTATTTTAATAAAATATTTTAATGAGAAAAAATTATTCTGGACCACTTTTCAAGTCCGGATATTACAACTCTTCTCTCCTTAAAAAACTTTAGTCCCTCAAATTGGTCACTCTCTCACTCAGTCGAACAACTAGGGGTACTAGGCCCTGAAGCTAGATTCCAGTTCCCAAGTGGCCTCTTCCTGTGTATGATTTTGCCAAAGCACCTTGACGAAGGAAATTTATCGGTTGTAAAATACTCTAATCTTCCGGTCTACAATGCCTATCGACAACTATTCATAAGATATATCCTCTTTGAATGAAAAAGGGCTTGTGGGACAGGATGTGTGAAGGGTCCGAGTTGTACTTACATAGCATAGATACGTGGAAAACACTATGAATCCTAGATAGCTTTGAATGTAATGCCAATCTGTAGGTGGTCGTACTAATTCGGTCTAAGATCTCAAATGACCCGATGAACCGGAAATTTAATTTTTCCCTCTTGCCAAACATATTGATTTTCTTAAAAGGAGTGACCTTAAGAAATACTCGATCACTTTTTTCAAAGAGTTCGAGTTGTACTTGCATAGCATAGATACGTGGAACACACTATGAATCCTAGATAGCTCTGAATGTAGTGTCAATCTGTAGGTGGTCGTACTAATTCGGTCTAAGATCTCAAATGGCCCGATGAACTGGGAATTTAATTTTTTTCTCTTGCCAAACATATTGATTCTCTTAAAAGGAGTGACCTTAAGAAATACTCGATCACTTTTTTCAAATTTTAAATCCCTCCTTGGGGTGTATGCATAACTCTTTTGCTTGCTCTAATATGTCAGGATATTCTTCTTGATCTTAACTACCTTGACTGTAGTTTCCTCCACAAGATCTAGGTCGAATAATTTTCTATCACCCATCTCTT